AAAAAAAAAAAAAAAAAAGTACCTTCACTTCATAACAATTGCCCTATTGCTGACGAACAAGTCAAAACCAGTAGGGCTAACTTATGTTTTTACTTCATAAATTGTGATATCAGGTGGATGGGTTTTTAGGGAAGTTGATTCTGATGTCACGAAATACTCGTCTAAACAATGTTTGTGATCATACCTTGCTGCCCTATCACTTCTTTCAGGCTGAAATGCCCATTGTGTTGTATCAATCTCCCAGATCCTCCGTTAATTTTAAATAATAAAGATGATGTTGATTAAAACGATAACATTTTATTTAACAAAATTACATTCTTTTTAATAAAAAAATGATATTATTTTAATAAACAATACCTCTGCTATTAATTTTTTAATAGTCAAGGATCCTCAGCCCATTATTACCTAGCAATGATAAAAGTTATTGAAATTGTCAACTAGACCTAACAAGTGGAATTGTCATTTGTTTCCGGTTGCCGACATATTTTGGTGAGCTACTTTCGAAGCAAACTATATTGTTAACAGCAAAATTCAATTAACCGCGAGTTTCACACACTTTTGTTTCATCCCAAAAGAAAAAATAAAAATAAAAAACCCAAACTAGTTGCTCTTATCGAAATGTCTCTAAATACGATGTACTTGAATTAGAAAATAATTTTTGACCCAAAAAAAAGAATTAGAAAATAACTAAAGATCAGTATCAATCCATTCAATGTCTTCATACCTTGACAAGATAAAGAGAACGAACCCATTGCCTTGCAAGATTTCAGAGTGCATGACCCATATAACCAGAAATGATTAACCCNTTTGTATAAGCAGTGTAGTTGTTCTAGCTAGGTAAGATGATCATTGAAATTTGGAAATTTATCAAAATCTCATTTTTCTTAAATGCAAAATGCTGACACACTTGCAACAGAATAGACTCGATCGGTTTTCCATGTTAATTAATGCACAAAAACATTGCCATTCGGGTTTGTGTCTCTTTTCATCCTCGAACATAGCTAGAATTTGGTTTCCAGCCTGTCACTGATTTTAATTACATGTATCATAACCCATTATTTTCAGGTCAAAAGGTGAGGCAAAAGCAACATTTTTGCGGCATGAGGGGTTCCTCGGAGCATTGGGAGCGTTCCTGAGCTACAAAGGGCATGGTCTTGATGGCTTGATGACCCATCAGCAAGTGGACTCGCTCCCCAAAAGTGTATGTTGGAATGGAGATGAGCTTCGCAGTTCAGTTTTTGGGAATCTGAATGAAAATGGGAGTATCGAATGCAGTGTGCAGCTTAGCAACTGAAGTATCTAATCGGATTAACCCAATGGTAGGTGTCTTTCTCACCGTGTCCCCGCAGATTTAAGGTTCAAATCACACCAGTCTCCCTTCCTTGTTTGTACTATGACACCCCCCACCCCCCACCCCCCCCCCCACCCC